CAAGTGCCTTACTAGTAGTAACAAGAAGCTACTAGTAACAAGTGCATCGCTACTAGGAGCAAGGACGCTACTAGGGGCTCCTAGGGGAACCTGTGATGCGCATAGCCGCCCTTATGGTGCACCCGTCAGGTGGGTAGAGGCAGCTGAGGAAAGTGGCTGTGCTCGCCTATGTTGGTGGGCACAGAGAGATGTTCTTTAGAAAGAAAAGCATCCTTGTTCCGTTCGTTTCGATGCTCTTTGCTCCTAGTAGCTTTATTGTTCCTAGTAGTACGGCCAGGAGCCTCTAGTAACGTCCTTGCTCCTAGTTTATTTTAGGCTACTTGTGGGATCCAATCTGCCCCTAAGGCCCGAGCCCCTTGAGCTTCAGCATGCGATCTGTTTCCAACCCTGGCTCGGCAATCTTTCTCGTGAACTCTTCAATCGCAAACATCTCAGCACCTCTCCCGCGCCTGTGATTTGCCCAATGAAGGCCAAGATTCCCACAAAAACAGAGAAGTAGCCATTCATAACGCCAAGCCTGAACGCTGAAGGCAGGTGTTACTCATCCCGGGTTTGTGACATCCTCCACAAAAGCCATTGCAAATGGAATGGCGAGTAGCTTGCCGCAATAGCCAAAGTTTGCAAAAATGCCCTGGAAAACGAGCCAAATGCCATACCTTGGTGAAGATTGCTCCAAGAGTCTCTCCCCAATCAAGTTTCGAGATCTTAAGTCGTTCGAGATCTTCTGCTGCCTCTTTCGCATGCCTGCTCTCCCTTCAGGCAATCTATTTAGGTCTCCTATTCGGCTGTCGCCGTCACACACACACACACACCAAGGTTCACGCTGAAGGAAGTTTCGTGGAAAGCCTTGCACCTGTGGCATCGCAAGTCGGCTCAATTCATTCAAAAGACTGCTAATGAGCATTCAATCCCCCTCCACATCGCTATTAGGTTGGAGGCCATTGCTATTAATTTGGAGGCCATCGCTAGTGAGTATTCAATCACCCTCCACCTTCCCAGTCGTGTAAAAATCCATCAAAAGGAGCCTGCAGAAGCACAGGCCGGTACATGAAGACACCAATGAGCCCGACGAGCAGTGGCCTGGCGAAGAAAATACCGAATTGGTTTGGTTTTGTGGGACATTTATACAGTTCCAAGTAACAACCTTGCAAAGGACTTGCTGTTGATCGGATTAATTAAGGAGTCAAGTTCCCCCAAAACCTAGGTTAGGAACCAAATTCATCATGCGGAGTCTGCACCTGTCCAGTCACTTCCTGCTTGCCTAAAGTTACCTCTTACCTACTGGCTACATGTTGGCTTCTACTTCGCTGCTCTACTTCTACCTTTCTACCCCTACCCTCCCCACTTTGCGAATCAGGGCTGAGGCTCAAACGTCATGAAGGGCAAAGAGGCCATCCCAAAGTTGGAGGCCCACTCTTGGTTGCAGTCCACCCACTGAGAGCCAGCTTCATCGCTCCAACCTTAAGATGGAACACAAGGACGTCCTTTTTTCAATCAACTAGGAGGAAGGACGCTACTAGTAGCTCCTGGCCTTACTACTAGTAACAAGAAGCTACTAAGGGCTCCTGGCCTGGCTACTACGAGCAAGGTAGCGTTCTTGCTCCTAGTAGTAAGGCCAGGAGCCCCTAGTAGCGTCCTCGTTCCTAGTAGCGATGCCCTTTGCTCCTAGTAGCGTCCTTGCTCCTATAAGATTCAACTTGCAGAATCGATTGGTGGCGCAAACAGTTTGGAGAGCTTCATGGCCACCCTCCCTCGCTGATTCATCCGTGCATTTTCCTCGATGACCGACTGTATTCTGTCTGGGAGTTGGACCGCATTCTGAGTACTTCAAAGCAAACTTCGGGTGGTGGTACCACATCTTGGCAATCAGTGGAATCAGTGGGCACAACAAGGACAAGCTATCAATCAAATCTTGCAGGTACTAGCTACCTTTAGCTACCAAAGACTCCGACTCCCTCTCCCTACCTCTGTGGCCTACCCTCAAAAATGTAAAAAACATTAGTTCAGAGAAGTTTTCTAAACTCAAATTATACCAATGTAGCAACCCAAAAATTAACAACAAAAAACCATAACAGACTATTACCTCATTCATTTTCATAAAAATCATCACTACCTACCATATACTGGGGTGCCGAAAGTTTAGAACGGGACAAACCCTTTCCCCTTAGAATCCTACGTGCAACATGTCGACACCTAAGTTGCGGTCAGATTTCCACACCTGAAAGCCTTATAAGTATTATAGATTTAAACGTGTGTGGAAATCTGACCGTGCTGTATCTGCCAGGCAAAAGGACGTGTCAATCCGATCCGCTGTAGACCGCAAGTGTCATGTTGGAAAAAGCGTAAGAAGCGTAAACTTTAGGGTTCTTGAAGTATCATCATCTCATTCATTTTTCACAAAATAATTACTACCTACCATATCATCAAAAATCATAACAACCTACAATCTCTCTACCTCATCCATGTTATAGAAATCATAGCAGTCAATACATCATCACCTCATCCATTCCATACCCAAAACAACATGACCAAACAACAAACAACAAAAACAAACAAAAACAAAGCGCAACAACAAAAAACAACAAGCAACAATAAAGAAACATCCTTAACCTTTAATAATCCTATCTTAACATTTCATAGTTCTAATAAACATATTATTAGAAGTATAGTTAAAACGTCTCTCTATCTGTCCCCTAATCCCCTCCATATCGCAATACTTCTTATCAGACCCTATCAGGTCATCAATATATTCAAAAAGAGATGTCCTAACAAAATCCTTCAATATAGTGCATTGCTACTAGTAGCTTCTTGTTCCTAGTAGTACTGCCAGGAGCGCCTAGTAGCGTTCTTGCTCCTAGTAGCGATGCCCTTTGCTCCTAGTAGCTTCTTGCTACTAGTAGGTTCTTGGTATATATTCCCTATTTATATTCATAAAAAAATCATCAGTAATAACGTACCTAAACAACTCCTGAAACTCTTTTGGATGATGGCATTTCATCACAGCAAACTTTATACCAAACATATTCTTCTTACAACATGATTTAAGTGCTTGTAGTGTCATCCTATTGTTGATGTATTTGTCCTCCACACTTTGTCTATCCAATGGTCTGTCAACTGCCTTCCGAAAGTCTTTGTCAAAACTGGGTTGTATCTCAATAGATATATGCTTCTTGTAAATTCTGAAAAAGGCTATATGTATTTTGACATTATTAACAATAGTGAGTGTGATATGGTATGGAATGGATGCGGTGATGATGTATTGACTGTTATGATTTCTATAACATGGATGAGGTATAGAGATTGTAGGTTGTTACAATTTTTGAGGAATGAGTGAGATGATGATATGGTAGGTAGTGATGTTTGTATTTCCCCCAAGCGTGTGGACACACTAAGGCTTCTTATGGTAGGTGAAAAGCAGCTAATGCTTAGATCGCTGAAGCGCGCGGGCGTGAATGGCTAATTCGATGCTATTTACAGTACATTTATGCCTCTCGACATCATCAATGTGCATTTCGACTGCGCTCTCGTTGTGGTGCCGTGCGCATTTTCGCACATGGTGGTCACTTTTCGTGGCAGGCGCAAGGAAATATGAAGGAAACCTCGTGTTTTCATCAGGTGTAAGGGATCGGAGCTGTTTCACTTCGAAGTGCAGTTTTCGTGGCAGGCGCAGCACTTTGGCATGTTGGTGATCGTCGAGGAGCTCAGATTTCGTGACAGGTGCAGTGAATCCTGACTTTTGGACATGTGGCTCGTTTGCAGATTTCGTGGCAGGCGCAGCACTCTGCGACCCTCGATGTGCAGATTTCAAGGCAGGCACAACACTTGGTGAACCTCGAAGTGCAGATTGCGCGGCAGGCGCAGCACTTGGTGAACCTCGAAGTGCAGATTTCGTAGCAGGTGCAGCACTTTGTGAACCCGAAGCGCAAATTTCGTGGCAGGCACAGCAGTTGGTGAACCTCGAAGTGCAGATTTCGTGGCACCTTCACTCTCACTCACACTCACTCTCGCCCACACTCACACTCTCTCACTCACCACCACCGCCGCCGTCACCAGGATCCCCACCTTCATCACCACCATCACCTCTCTGGACCCCAATGCGTCTAGATCTCTGGACTTTCTGCTTACAGACCTCACACACACTGTTTGGGGTCTCTTGCCGGGATAATTTTAATGAAAATGAATGAGATGATGCTATAGGAGGTAGTGATGATTTCTATGAACATGAATGAGGTAATAGTCTGATATTTAATTATTGTTAATATTTTTTGAGTTTAGAAAACTTATTTGAACTAATGTTTTTTACATTTTTTACCCCCCCGCGCGCGAAAGAAAGATAAATAAAGAAAAGAACATTTTTCCTTTGCTCTGCCAATCTTTTGCAGCAGACCTTCACGACTTAACCGCTCCCTGACTGGGTGTCAAGACATAAACTACTCCAATGACCAGGGTGAACTGCGAAGAGCCCCTTCCGAGGAAGCCAATGGCATTCCCTGCCGCCTCAGATGCAAGTGACTTCATGCTACACAATGCTACGGACCAACGAACCTTCTTTCACGATTCAGCCATTGTACACAATGCGATGTTTTGGATAAAACCAAAATCTTTCTTCCAAACAAATTGCAATGACTCTTAAACTGCTTTGCTCTACCCTCTAATGGGGCCATCTCTTTCAGAAAAAGTCACTCGCCGCATAGTGTCCAAAGGTTTGGACCTCGACTGCAAAAACACATGGGAGTGAATCATGACAAAAAAAAACAAACTTGTAACAAGCACTTCTTTGCATAAAGGAAAGCTATTAGGGGCTCCTGGCCCTCCTCCTAGGAGCAAGGACGCTATCAGGGATGAAGTGAACGAAATGAACACCTCTGATACCAGAACATCTCACTTCCACAAGTCTGACTACAGAATCGCACCTGGGGGCGACGCAGTTTGCCGTCTGAGCCCAATGGCATTCAAAAAAGTAGTAGCTTCTTGCTTCTAGTAGTAAGGCCAGGAGCTCCTAGTAGCTTCTTGTTACTAGTAGTAAGGCCAGGA